GTGGAAATACACAAAATATCTGAGAGATCAATGCTACAAAAGGATGGTAAATAGCTATGATTGAAGAACTACTTCAGTCATTTGATCTCAAAAGTCATTTTGCACAAGGAGGCATGCACATGCCATTTGGCTGCCCTTGATGTTTGTTTGATGCTCTTGTGTGTGACTTGAATTGTAAGAATTACAGCTAATTTATATCATTTAATTCTAAAATTTAACCTACAAATGTTTAGTGCTGAAAAAAAATACAATATATGAATGAATGTTTCAACTAGTTAAATGTAACTTTCTCAAGTAAAAGTTAAAAAGTTTAATTTTTAAAAATTTATTTTTTGGGGGTAAGTTTAATTTTTAAGGAATTAATTTTTCAAATGATTTACTTTTTAAAAAAATGCTTTATTTTGAAAAGTAACTTTTTGGAATGATTTTTAAAATTTGATGGCTGTTCTCATGTATTTATGTATGTTCCTTTTTTGCGTAAACAGTTTAATTCATTAGTAAATTTAAATTTACATAAATGCAGTAGTAAATTTAAATACAATGTTAATACCAGCGTTAACTATTACTAATATACAAGAGTAATTTAAAAAATAGTGCTGCACATTCAAGAAACCTTTATGAGGCAAAACTCTGCAAATATTAAGCTATTGTTTCTTGACATGTTCTCCATCTAGGTCTTTATACTCTGCGGGCAGTATTAACCTCTCTAACTCTCCCTCTTGAAGAAGCCTGGTATAATCTTCGATCTACATATAACATGTCAAGATGGCATTTTTGGCATCCTTGGGGGACTCAAGTCCTTTTCTTTTTTAAATGTTTGAGGAACAAAGATTCTGAAGAGTAAGATGAGGTTGGCGGATGGAAAGAGGGTTTTCTAATGGAATTCTTACAGGACTGCCCTAGTTCCCCTCAATGAACGAATGCACAGGTACATTGTTGGGATGGGAAAAAATTCCTTGGCTCAACTTTCCTGACCGTTTTTTACTACAGGTTTCCTTGGAACTTGTTCCTCATAAGCTGCCTGTGATTTATCACTGTGTCCTTAACAAAACGTGTCAGCTGTTAATGGATGATTCCTCTGGAATCCCAAAGATTGTCACCATAGCCTTCTAACCTGAAGCCACTCCCCTTTTTGAAGGAACCCTAACAAGCCCAAGACAAGTATATTACTATGAGAACTTATTTATATCCATTCACTGATTACAGAAACATGTTTAAACATGTTTATTTGAACAAACCTGTGTATCCATAAACTGGAACCTTTGGAACAATTACTTTTTAATTACCCTTGTATACATAGTGATAGGTCATAATGATTCTTTTAATTGATAGTTGACTTTTAATTATATTGTCTTTAATACTGTTAGTGAAATTTAAGATAGTTTTTCCTATAAAGAATTTATGACAATAACAAGCTTTTTTGGGGGGCAGAATTTTGATTAATTTGGAAAATATATTATGCCTGTTTAGGTAATCTTGAAGATAAAAAATTTTTGTTTCACATGGATGCTCAAGCTGATGATCCTTGTTGGAAAGGACTTGGTGAAGAAAGCCAGTTACTTTATCTAATAAAAAGCACAATTTTTATTCTTTTATTCCTTAGCTATCAAAATCCCTCCAAGGATCAAAGCACATAATCGGGTGGGATGGGGGTGGGAGGATCTACCAAACCTAACTCATAGCAGCCCTATAGGACAGAGAAAAATTGCCCTTTGGAGTTTCTGTGACTGTAAATCTTTATAGGAGTAGAGTCTCATCTTTCCTGTAGAGCAGCACTGATTTTGTGATTAGCTGGTGAGCATATACATTATCAGGGCTTTGTTTTTTTCCTTATTCTAATCTTATGTAGCCCATGGGGAATATAAATGTTTAATTTGCTTTGCTACTGTAACCAAGAGATTACAGATTTGATTTCACCCAGAGTCAACTTTAATGGAAGATCTGGTAGATCTATTTCTAAAACGCCAGTCATTGAAATCCCTTTGGAGCACAATTCTATTGTGACAATCTTGGGGTCTCAATGAGTCAGAATGAATTACAAGTAGAGTTAGGCTGAGCAGAATTCTCTTTTGCATTTCCAAGACTAAATGTAGCAGCAGTTCTCAATCTGTGGGTTGCGACCCCTTTGGGTGTCAAACGACCCTTTCAGGGGTCGCCAGATTCATAACAGCAAAATTACAGTTATGAAGTAGCAATGAAAATAACATGGTTGGGGGGTCACCACCACATGAATTTTATTAAAGGAAGGTTGAGAACCACTGCTTTATAGGAATAGACAGCCTCATTTCTCTTGTGGAGTAGCTGGTGGATTCAAACGGTTACAGTTATGAAGTAGCAATGAAAATAATATGGTTGGGGGGTCACCAGCACATGAATTTTATTAAAGGAAGTTTGAGAACCACTGCTTTATAGGAATACACAGCCTCATTTCTCTTGTGGAGTAGCTGGTGGATTCAAACGATTGAGCTTATAGGTAACATCTCATTGCAGAACTCACTATATGAGTTGGAATGTAGTTTGAATTGACTTGCTGGAAGCGAGTTTGGATTTTGGGGTAGGTATGGGTGAACCTTGCCTTATCTTTTATCATACCCTCTCTGTTTTTATACCTCAGGTTATGAATTTTCCAGTGAATTATGTTATTAGGACCTACTTTTTAAAGAAGGTATACACATGTGCATTATATGAGGAACTTCAAAAAGTTTGTGGAAAAATATGGAAGTGGAAGAACTTTTCAAAGTTTCGTATAGAACGATACATGTGCCAACATTTAAAAAATATTTTATTGGGGGCACCAACATTTTTTATATGTGCAACTTCTAAGTTATCTAGTGTTTCTAAAACAAATACCACAAATGATTGCTGTAGCAAACTCACTTATTGTCACACTGTTCAGGTAGCTTGATATCTGATATCAAAGTGGCTCTATCCCGTAGGGCCACTGGATTCTGACCCAGAAGTACTCTGTAGGTAGGTAAGGGTTGAATTTCAAGGCTGTATGTACTTATGGGCGCACAGAAAGCCTCATTTTTCTCCCTTTGAGCAGCTAATGGGCTCAAACTGCAGACCCTGCAGTTGCAGCACAATTGATAACTAGCTACCCCACCAGGGCTCTGGGGGAAGATTTTCTGTTGCGTCTCTCCCCCTCACTCTCTGCTCTTTGGTTGTTTTAAAATCATGTCTTGATATGCTAGAGAAATTAAATTTCATGAACACATTCCCAAATTGGATTATAACCATAAGCATAGAAGCCTAGAATATTTTAGGAGACAATCCAGTCCACAAGTTATACTCATATTGTAAATTACCATTACTATTCTTCATTTCCAAGTAATTCTAAAGTATTAATAGTAACAATGCACCTTAAACTAAGCCTTCGTTGACTCTCTCCTTAAGCCCTGTAATGGGGCCCTGGTGTCTCTAGTACAGTTTGAAAGCACCAAGCACCCCATGGAGAAAGATGAGGCTTTCTACTCCTGGAAAGAGTTGTAGCCCCGGCAACTCAACTGGAGCAGTTCTCCTCAGATAAAAAAGGCTGCTAGGAGTTGCATTGACTCGAGGGCAATGAGTGCCTTGCCTGCTGTAATCACCAATAAACTATGGTCTACGTATATTTGCCTCTGTTATATAACTGGGATCATAAAATGTGTGCCTGTTGTAATAGACTTAATTAGCATAAATTTAGGATTTCATTTTAATCATTGGGTAATCATACAGCTCTTACCACAGTCCATACAACCATCATGTCAAGCACATTTGTGATCTGTTGCCATCATTTTTTGATCAAAGTGAGAAAGCTTTACTATTCCAATTATGATATGAAAATGACAGAATCAAACATTTCCAAATTCCCCATTCCATAGCTGATAATGGTATCCAGTCTTGAATTAAATCTTTGCTTATACTGAGAATGTTGTTTTTAAAACTTCAATTTACTTTATAAAATGTCTCATCTGAGCATCAGATGCTGTTTTAGCATTGTACTGAATATGATGGATAAAATAGATATGCTCTCTAACCTGATAGCCTAGTAGGGCTTGTTATTTAGGGTAAGATGTGATAATGCTATTGGAACACAGACAAATCTGTGGGATTTGGCCAAACTTCAAGGAAAGGGTAACAAAACTGAGAATTTGGGTTGGGGGGAGGAAGTAAAAAATTCTAAATACTAGCTTACCCCAGGAACCTTGGTGGTGTTGTGACGATGAATTGGGCTAGCGGCAAGGTCAGCAATTCCAAACCACTAGTCCAGGGGTGTCAAACTCAAAACGCGGCCCTTTGGTGCAACAGGCAAGATTCATGCAGGCCACATCATATCTACAAATGTGGTTAAATTTATATTTTGAAGTGAGGATTCAGGAATATGGATAGGATAATTAAAACACTATGTAATTGCTTTCATTTAAACATTTTATTTAATGTATTTATAAGACTAAAATTATTTTTTACCTGAAACTTGCCAGTGCTTTCCTCCTCCTAGTTTTCACTTACCTCCTATGTTGTGACCAGAAAATATAACAAAGTAACTAACAAAAAACACAAAATGTTGGGACAGTTGATAAACGTGATGCACAATCATGGCTTCCCACCAAAATGTTAAATAGTGCTGCCGCTAAGGATGACTCATAACAGCACAACCCAGAGTGCCTTTTTTTTTAAACCGTTTAACTATTGGTATCTGTTTATATTACGTGAACTAGAAATATGGCATGAACTTGAATCTTCAAGCTGAGGCTTACTGGTGTGGGGCCATCTCTCTGCACTTAGCAGAACTAAAAGATATTTGTTACACTTGGCAAGGCAAGGCAGATATTGGGCTGCCTGCGGCATAACTGAAGCTATGCTAAGAACCATATCCTTCATAATCCCAAACTGGTTTCTCTAAAAAATTGGAAAACCAGTTTCAAGGGAATGAAAAAGACAATAAAAGATGGTTTAAAACTCATAATTATTTGAGTTTTATCTGGGTGTTCTACAGGCCAATTACAATGAATTAACAAATTCGGCCCAGTGCCATGTGAAGGTTGGTTGGGATCAGAATTGGTGAATGGTAAAGAGGAAGCATGTGGGACCTCTGACTCATGGGAATCAGCCTTTGGCTAATGCTGTCTTAGGATGTTAGAGAAGGTTAGATACTCATGTTTAAAATTAGTACAATGACGATTATTTCTCTACCAAAATTAGTTTGGCTTTAAAGGAAGTTACTCAACCCTAGGCTCAGCCAGGAGTATTTACATACTAGATATGCTTCTGCCCCCAACTCTTAAACTCACAGGTGGAAAAAGATGTACAGGAATATACAGGAGGTCCTGTGTACCCTTCAGTTTCCCCAAAGATAACATTTTACACATAATTCAGTATCAAGTCCAGGAAATTTAAGTTGATATAATCCATACTCATTCAGATTTCATATTTTTTATTACTCTGTGCATGTATAGGTGAGTATGACATCAAATGTGCTTATGTAGCCATCACTATTACAGAGAACTGTTACAATTCAAGGGTTAACTGTATTCTTTAGTAATTTTTTCCCTCTCCCATCTCTGGCAACCACTAATCTCTGCTCACCTTAATATTTCAAGATGAAATGCAGAATGCAACTTTTTCACTGAGCTTAATTATTTTGAGATATACCCAGTTAGCTCCATACATGAGTAAACAAAACCCATTGCCATGGAATTTATTCCAATGCATAGCAACCACATAGGACAGAGTAGAACTCTCATGGGTTTTTGTGGCTGAAAATCTTCATGGGAACAGAAAGCCTCATCTTTTGTGGGGCAGCTGATGGATTTGAACTGCTGACTTTGCTGTTAGCAGTGCAGTGTACAAGCCACATTGCTAAAGCTCCACATAGTAACAATTGTTGGTTTTTTTATTGCTTCAAACATTTACTGCTCATATCTTGAAACTCTCCTGAAAAATAGCACAAGCATAATTAAAGACTCAAATGCAAATTAAACCTGAACTAAAAATAAATGTTAAAAGGGCAAAGAAAATCAGTTGTTAAATGATAAATGCTCAATTCTAATTGGGGGACTGAATACCAACATTTAGAAAACATGAAGCAGGTAAACATGCTTTTAAAAATAAAAGTTTTATTCTTTAATTGCAAATTTTACTCTTGTTAATACAGGTCACAGTGAGCTGGAACTTGATGGGACTACTTGTTATTTATTGGTTTCACACGTTTTTCTAACATTGTGCAGTCTTATCACTTTTCTCTGTTATTGGGAAACTTTTGAGTTTTCTTTATAGGCTTCTGTCTTACCCAATTCTCTTGCAAGTTTTACTGTACTTCTGACATAATTTTACCCTTTTTACACTGTAACAAAATAAATTGTCCTTAACATTCCTAAATTGTTTCCCAAATAAAGCCATTACTAAGTATTTTCACATGGTAAGTTATTGACTCATAGGCTTAAAATCAGTGGTACAAATCATACAATGTAGATGACCGTATAACAAATTTAATGTTAGTAATCAGCCATATATGAGGTAGAATTTTTAATCACAGTTTTATAGAAAGTTAACAGCTTTAATTCTCCTTGCTTTGTTAAGTAACCTTAACTAAAATTAAGGTTCCTCCTCATTAATAGTCTAATAGAGGGGGACATTAATGGTCCTTGGTTTGCATGTGCTACAGGGGCTACACTGAAACACCTAAAGCGTTTTCTTAGTAAGTTAATGGATCACATGGTGTTTTCATATTTAAAAAGCCGTGTTTAAGGGACCATGTATCTCCTAAGGATCTAGAATGAACTATATCTTTGTACTACTATCTCTTGGGATCTCAATGCTTACCAAAAATTTCAGCACTACTAACATGAGTTCTATACTCAACTATATAACCACAAGAATATTACATATGGTTGTGACCTAGAAGTTCTATTTAATACATAATAGAGCTAAATTAAATAGGACCGGACAGCCTGTGGTAAGCTAGGATAGTAAAGACTGTTTATGTGGGTTATTCATATATTGGGTGTGCAATACTTGGGAGGTTCCCAAGGTTTATTTCTATATCACTAAATGGATCTAAGTGGACATTTATGAAAGCTATAATAAAAATTGTTAATAGATTACACTCAGTGCTGAAACTTACTTGAGGGCTTAAGTTTCAAAAAATGTACCTTAATACTTAAAAAGATAATTAAAAACATGATGTAATTGTAAGAACTCCCCACCCCCCCAAAAAAAACCCACAGCCAAATACAAGTTTTTCCCCAGTTAACTGGAAATGCATTTTCTTGGTTCATATTAACATTGGGGCTGTCAGGATTAGTCAATCAGACATTTTGGGGTTCTGTTTAAGTAAACTATTTCATCAGCTAAGAATTTATGTACATTTAAGATTCTTATGATTTTGAGAGTACACAAAAGGCAGTGTTATATCATGCTCTTTTTAACATTAATTCTATAAGCAATTATACCAAAGTTAAAACAACACCGTTTGACAAATAAAATAAAAATAAGATTGTCGTTTTCTCTCACATTAAAAAATTCTCTATCTGTGTCCTTACAGAGACAGAAGCTTTTGACCAAGTAGCTCAGAGGGAAAAAGTATCCTAATTTTAATAGGAAAAGTTTAATGTTGCAATTTAATAATTTATCAAAATGTCAGCTTTGAGGACGTAGGCTAAGTATATAAAGTAAATTTTTTTTAACTGACATTAAAATATATAGCATTTAGTTTTAAAAATCTCCAAAATGTAATTATTTTCAAAGGTATGCCATCTATTTATATTAAGAGTTGCATGTTAGAGAAAAAAATTAGCCTGTCTCCTAAACATAACCAATCCAAAATAATGAAATGTTCAGATGATTTATAACATACTGAAGGTATCTACAATTTTAATTGTTACATTTACAAAGAAACTTATTGGTAAGAGAGCTTTTTAAATGGTGTGTTGCATGGAGATCCAATGTTCAGTTATTTAAATCACCTAAGACATTTGAAATTTTTTAAATTCAAATTTAGGAAAATATGGCTATTAATATGGCTTTATTCATTACTATGTTCTAGCAAAATAGTTCTGTTAACCATGTAAATATAACTGGGTAAGTAAAATTAGTTACACAAACAAGTGAAAACTGTCCTTTCACATTAAATTATACTTTTCACACTTGCAAACCTGAAAACAATTTAAAAAGGCTAATAATGGCCCTGACTCTAGCTGTTTATTATAATTTTCCATTCTGTTTTCAATGTGAAGTACTCTAGTTTGGAATTTTAAGTCCTACTTTTCCTCTTATCTTCAAATAGATTCTTAAGCATATAAACTTGAATGGCTGCCACTGCCACCATGACCACTAAATTAACTACAGACCAGAAATTAACTCTGTCGAAGTTACTTTCTTGTATATTTCGATCACGGGCTTCAAATGCTCTAAGAAGTGTCTGAATATGACCACTTTTGCTTAGTCTGGACTTGATGCTGTTGATCGATTCCTGAGAATAAATAAAATGATTTAATTATAAAATAATCCTCATATATTGTAACTATTAAAAATCTATTTCATAGTATTCTGATATTCATCTTATTTTTATATCCTAGCATAAGGTAGATGGGGTCCATCAATTAATGGACAGGTAATATTTAAAATACCAAAAAGTCCTCTGCAAAGTTAATGCAACAATCTTTCTGATATATACTTAACAGAGGAACAGAGCTGTTAACTGAAAATGGATAATTTGAAAACATTTGAATAGCAGAGTGACAGAACTCTAACATACATTATCATTTGCATTAGCCCAAAAGAAACTAGAAATATATTTTTAATAATTTGTTAACAACTTTTAGGTATTTACCCGTCACATATAATTCACTGTTTATAATATTTGATAAAATGAGGTGTTTTTACCTTACAAAAGTAAAATTAGGAAATGTAAAACATGTAATATAAAAATGTTCTTAGACCACTTTCATAAGATAAGCTTCCCAAAGATGCACTGGAAGTTGCTCAACTCATTCTGAAAAAGATAATTTTATAATGGAATCTTTGTGAATTAAGTTACATCAACTATAAAAGTAATACGAGAGCGTTTCAAAAAGTTCTTGGAGAAGTTTGATTATCCCTTAATTGCATTCTTCCATGAACTTTTTGATGCTTCCCTGTACATGAATGTATAGTAAAACTATGAAGTTGAGATTTAAAATATCAAAGTATTTATGGCAAAAATAAGTATACTAGAAATTTCTTGAATAGTAAGGGGTCCTGGTGGTGGTATAGTGGTTACACGTTGTGATGTAGACCACATGGTCAGCAGTTTGAAACCACCAGCAGCTCTGCAGGACAGTGGGCTTTCTACTCCTGCAAACAGTTAAAGTCTTAGAAACCTACAGGGGGTCACTGAGTCAGCATTGACTCAATGGCAGAGCTTGGTTTGGAGAATGTTGCCTGAAATTCCCATTTAAGGAAAAATATGCTCAAAATTTTAGTGTTCTCCTTTACAACTTTACAACCCTTTACAACTACAGGGTATAACTTTAGTGTGGGCAGATTTATAAAGCAATGGTAACCTAGTACTGAAACTATTTCCTTTCCAAAAAATATGGAATTTGCTTTCAGCTCCCCAAATAAACTTATAGTTCTTTTCAATACTACAATGATAGTCAAATGTACAATTATTTATTCAAATTTGCTAATTTTGGATTCCTTAAATTTTTTATTTTACTTAAAAAGTGTATAAACATTTAAACTGTGTATATATCTAAAATGTCTGGTCACTATTTGTATGAATGAAATCATTCCATTGAGAAAAGTGCAATGAGGTATATGTATTTATTGTTGGAAGAGTAAATTAAAATATGAAAAGATAACATTGCTAGGATTGCCTTTACAAAACATGGGTGAGAGTAAAACGGAAACAGGAGTGGAACTATGGGTACATGATTTATATTTTAAGTCTGTTATTATAAAATGAGAAGATAGGAGCTGGATTGAACTAGCTAAATTTTCTTCCAGTTCTAAAATTCAATTAAGTGTAATACATAATGGATATCATTGTGAGATCTAAGACTCACAGTAAAATTAAAGTCAACTCAATCCTTTCACAGTCTATATTCATAGTTATATCAGTGGAAAAGCTAAGAAAAGTAACCTTTACTGTGTGCCAGGCCTAGTTTGAAGCACGTACACATGTGTTACCTATATTGCATTTTATCCTTACAAGAACTCACAGGTGGCATCTCCATTGTGCAGGCTAGGAAACTAAGGCTTAGAGAGCTGAGCAACTAAAGACTTACAAATATGATATTGTCTTCTAATATTTCAGTTTCTTAGGATAACTGATTTATGTTCTAGTTTGAAAATTAGAGCTATCAAGATACTACATTTAGAAAAATGTTCAAGTAACCAGAACCAGGGATTAAAAATTGCAAACTTACAAGTTATTTCTCTTGCAGATATTTCTATAATCCATGTAAATATGCTGTCCATAAATAAGAAGTAAATCCAAGTGTTTGCTAAAGTCTCTCTAGCTTTTAAGAATATATACCTTTTCCCCCAATCACTGCCAGAACTATTAGCAACAAATGGGTTCATGTACACACTCATCACATTCATTATACATGTTCACGACAAATGCAATGTAAGACAATTCATGCAAAGGAACTGTGTGACTAGAGCAAAGGTTTTTGTTCTTTTAGTTAGCTGCTAGTTTCTATTAACTTTAGGTCTGGTCAGAGTGTTGTTGTGAGGTGCCATCGTTAGTTCTGACTCATATCGGACCTATGGACAACAGCATGTAACACTGCCTGGTCCTTTGCCATCCTCACCATTGTTTTAAGTTTGAGCCCATGGTTGCAACCAATTAGTCAATGTGTCTAACTGAGGGTCTTCCTCTTTTCTGATGACTACTAAGCATGATGCCCTTTAACCAAAGATGGGTCTCTTCAGATAACATGTCCGATGTATGAGAGAGACCATCTTTGCTTTTAAGGAACATTCTGGCTGTACTTCTCCAAGAAAGATAACAATAATGTATTGTAACCAATGTGCTCAAATTATCATCAAACTTCTTATGCTTAGGAAAAATATAGATCATAAATGTCTATAGATTACTCAGTTTTACTATATGTATAAGTATGGTATAGACCATCACATTGTTTACAAGCATTCTAGGAGATTTTTACAGCCAAGAGCCTGCAAATTTTAGTTCTGTCTCTTTCTGGTTATATAAGAAGGATTATTTACTACCAGTTAGTTTCCTTATTGGAAAGACTGGGATGATCATCTCAATTCTGACTCATAGAACTCTTCCTCACAGCTTCTGACCCAAGTGTCTCTCTTCCTCAGAGTAGCTGGTAGGGGTTGAATCGCCAACCCACTGTGTGAAGTAATTAAAGGAGAGAATCTAGATAAAATGCTTATCATAAAGTAAGCTTTGGGGATGACAGTAATTTTCATTACAACACCATACTGACCAGGATATCTTCCAGTTTCATATCCAATATATCTGTGCCAGTAATATATTTCTTCCAATCTTCTTGTTCTTGCTCTCCCATATTATCCAGGATTAATTCAAAGAAAATCACCTTCTCAGAAATGGTGCTGAATGTATTGTCAAAGCAGAACATGTAGTCACCAACTTCAGTCTCTATCCTGTATAAAAGTATGTGTTTTCAGTTATCTTTGTCTATTGGGGATAAAATAACATCTATCGGTAGAACGCAGGTTTCATTATCATTGCAAAGCTTACTGACTGAAGACTCTGTTTCTTAAAATTTAAATCAGTGGTTCCCAACGTTCCTAATGCCATGACCTTTTAATACAGTTCCTCATGTGGTGAGCCCCAACCATAAAATGATTTCCATTGCTACTTCATCACTGTCATTTTGCTACTGCTATGAATCAGGCGACCCTGTGAAAGGGGTCACGCCCCACAGGTTGAGAACCAATGATTTGAAGAGTTAATTAGGCAAGAGGCAACCTGAGAGAATGTACATTCACACATTTGCAATTAGATATGTTTGGCATTTATTAATAAAAGTGACAATTTTTGGAAAAGACAGGACCAAAAATTAGAAATGTAAGACCTCATAATAAACTTTTAAAAGTACATTGAGTTCAATTATTATGCAAATATAGCTACCAACGTACCTACCCTTCAATCAAAAACTGAGTTAAAAAGTTTTCTCTAAAAAAAGTAGTGGTAGGTTGTGCTAAGTGCTTTCCCCCAGGCTCCTATTTTATGATAGGATTGAGGTCTGTGGTCAACATCAACGCTTTATCCTCAGTGATATTACTTTCATTAAACAGATGCCAGGCACTCTTGATCTCCTTATCTTCACATTCAAGATGACTGGCTTAAGCCGAATTAATTTCGCAAAGTGGTTTTTAATGAGAAAACTTTCAGAGCAAAATAGCCCAGGCTAATGACCTCTGCTTGAAACAAACATCCCTTTTAGATTGAATAACAAAAGTGGCTTACATTTTACAACAGTGAGGTAAACAGTTTTTATTCAGTTAATTATTTTGCAAGGCACTATGAAAGCAGTTAAAAACCAACAAAACCACTTTTGTCAAGATAACAGTGGTCTATAAAATCCTCTGAGAAGCGATAGGTGGCGACAGACAAGATGTTTTATAGCAGCGGTTTTCGACCTGTGGGTTGCAACCCGTTTGGGGGTCAAATGACCCTTTCATAGGGGTGGCCCAAGACCACCGGAAAACAAATATTTCTGATGGTCTTAGGAAACAAGTTATCGCTCCTATATCCATCTCTAGGCGGGTCCGCCCACAAGCAAATATGCCCACATACAAGTGCCCTGCATTGAATACTTACCTATGCTACACCATGCTTCAAGACATTTATTTGTATTTATTTGTAATTAGAAATAAATATTTCATAATATATAATTACATATTGTTTTTGTGATTAATCACTATGGTTTAATTATGTTCAATTTGTAACAAAAATACACCCTGCATATCAGATATTTACATCATGATTCTTTACAGTAGCAAAATTACAGTTGTGAAGTAGCAATGATAATAATTTTATGGTTGGAGGTCACCACAACATGAACTGTATTAAAAGGTCATGGCATTAGGAAGGTTGAGAACCACTGTTTTATAGTCACAGTGCAATTGTAAATAGTAAAGACCCTTTAATAAAAATTCATTATCCCTAACATGTACATTAAATGAATTGATATCAGCTCAAGAAAGTCTAATGTTTTTAGATCCCCACCCCCCTCCCCCGTGTTAATACAGGTTTGGTACATCCAGCAATGCTTGTCTACTTAGATGGCTTCAAAACCTTTCTAGCTGTATTCTAACTGCTTACTACCCAACGCTCACCAGTCTCTTTAGGATGATTTCAGCTAAAATTAGGACACTTCCCCAAGCAGTGGTAATTTGGAGTTCAAAACTGCTCTTGACTAGTATTTTTTAACTTTTAGGGCCCAGCATTAGGTTCTCTGATCCCCAGAATTTCTCCCACCAGAATGTAAACTTGTACTTCCTCTTGTTTGGGAACATTTTAGCTACACTTCCATTGGGTTGTTATGCCCGCCTCGGAGGACCCAAGTAATTCTTCAGTGAAACCTACCTCCATTTAGAAACCTGTCCATTTGGGAACAAGTATTGTATGGTATGTCAAAGGATGCTGCAAGTCTGCTGCTACTAAAAGTCCTGCCTTCCAGCATTCTAGATTATGTTGCAAGTGCTACATTCTAGTGAATATGTGTGACGGCGGACAGGTTTAAGAAACCAGAGAGGGACTGCAAAAAGTATAATTAAAAGAAAGATGTGTGTATACTAATCTTTTTTCAAAATATACTATGTGCTAGGCTGAAGGCACTGATATCATTGTTCCTTTGATAACAGTGGGGATCATGAAAGACACCTCAATATAGTCACTTTTAATTTTGACCCCAGAAATTATTTCTGTCATCTCTCTTGTATGTCAAAGGATGCTGAGAGCTTCTGTGTAACGTGAGGATTCAAATGGTTACGCTATTAATAGTTGAGCGCTCCCCTTTTCAAAAAAACAGAAAAGTTGAGGAGGTGAAGTTTGTAGCTGACAAAAAGATTGGAAGTTGATATTATAAAAACCTTTATTAAACTTTCTAGCTTAACACAATGGATGTATGTATGGGTTGTGATAAGCGTTGTACAAGTCCCCAATAAAATGATTTTAAAAAGAAAAAAAAAACTTTCTAAAGTGGCTTGCCACGTAATCAGTTCAGCTAGGAAAACGTTAATTGTTCTTTTATCTAGCCCATGATCAAAATTTCAGGTCCTGTTTTATTTCTTTCAACTCACTGGTACCATAATTCCCACTAATTCACTTCCTATAGTTTGCAATAGAAAACAAAACAAGGAGTTCACACCATTTTAGTTTTTACTGCGGCTATTTTACCTCCACTGTGCTAGTTCATCTAAATGCTCAGAATGCTTGATTGTTTTCCACAGCCTGATTTTGAATCCTGGCTTCCTTATTCGATTGCTGTACAATCTTTATTTTCTTGATTAATATCAGTTTATTGATAAAGTTACAATTTAAAGTGTAAATATTAAAAGGGTGTTATTATCAATAAACATGTTCCTCTTTGTTGATAGGAAAGGTGGATACTCTGTAGCTTCTTACTTAGCTGCTCTATGCCTCAAATGCCTCTGGTAAGATGAAAATAATGACAGCACGCATCTCCTTGGGTTCTGGTGCACAATTATAAAAGGAAAAACAAGATTTATGTCAAGTATAGAAGAGAATAGTATCATGACACATCAAAAAACATAAATGTGATTTCTCTCATAAACTCAATTTTCTTCTCCCAATAGGAGATAGTGCCAAACAAGAAATCAACAAGGTATCTTTTTTCCCTTCGTATATCTAGAGAAAGAAGATAATGGGAGAGAAATAAAAACTGATAGAAACTCTGTACATGTTTGAATTCTAAAATTTACGGATGAACTGCACACTTGTAGTTCCGATTACTCAGACACCTCTCAAAAGCACAGTTCATTTCAAGTATCTCAACCTAAGATGACTTTAAATTGTTCTTTTTCTATCTAAGTTTATATGAATATTTTTCTGAGCTCTGCATATTAAAAAACACTTTTAAAATGAGTATCAGAAAATTATAGTTGACATTTTTTCCCTCCTCATTCACTGATACATACATTTGGTATTTACTGAGCATCAGACATGCCAGGTGCTTAGTTAACAAAGACCAATAATTATAATAGCTAATACTTACATAGTGCTATGTGCCAGAGATGTTCTAAGCATCGTATGGTAGAAAGCAATAGTTTTGGTTCATCCTGCTTCCACCTGTTAATAAATGTGTATTTAACTTCTCTGAGCCTCCTTGTCTGTAAAGATTCCTCATCTGTAAAATGGGAATCAAAGTATCTATCTCATAGTAGGTTGGAATGACTAATTTAGATAGCACATAAAATGCTAAGTCTAGTTTGGCAAATAGGAGACACTGTATTCTTATTCTACTTCCTATGAACTCATAGTTTAGTTCTAACATAACAAAATGTACTAAAAAAGTGGTATAGTAAAATAATAGAAGGGAGCAGGGAAACACCAGTGAGATGTAATATGTAAGAGAATATAGGCATACTTTGGAGATACTGTAGATTTGATTCCAGACTACCACAATTAAATGAGCAGTATCACAACAGTCACACACTTTTTTTTGGATTTACAATCCATGTAAAAGTTATGTTTACACGATAGTCTATTAAGTGTGAAATACATTATGAAAAAGTTGGAAGGATTGTGAAGATTATCAAAACATGATGTAGTGAATACATGCTGTAGGAAAAGGTGCTCAAGGCAGGGTTGCCATTAACCTTTAAACAGTTGATTCGTAACAACAAAAACTCAACACAGTATCTCCAAGGTGCAATAAAACAAAGTATGCTAGCACAAGGCCTTGTCTTATTCAAAAAGTTCTGACAGAATTTTCTTTCTCTAGGGTCTAAGGGCTTATCTTTTAAGATTTGAGTAGAAATATATTACACACCTGCATAAAAATAATGTTCTCTTTTAATAAAGCTATGGTCAAAGATACAGACGGCAAACAGTTCAAGAAACTCTTTAGGAAAGATAATATAAAAAGCCTAAGTTATTCAGAAAAGCAGGTTTAAACTGTCCCAATAGATTGGAAACACAGTTTAGGAAACAATTATGTATTTAAACAAACTACAGAGGGAAGTGAATCAGTTAACTAAAACACCGATTGTTTAACACGTCCACTGTGCAGGAGCAGTAAAGTACTTAATGTGGTTCTTCCTGCCAAAGTCTCAACTCCCACCAAATGACCTTTCCCTGAATAGGTCTGGTAAGAAGGTGTGAGATACTGATAGGCTTCACCTGTGAGAGTAATTTCGAACAGGATTCCCTGGAGTGCCATCCTGCTGTGTATAAAATGAGCACTCTGAGAAGCAGGAGGAGGGATTATCAGCAAAAGCCTGGAGTGGAGAGTGAATTCGAGATCCCTGTGCAGTAAACCTCCTGGGTCCAGAAGACAGCTATACTATCAGAGGAACAGCAGCAGCCAGAGCATGGAGCAGAATGATGGACTTCCCAACCCCCCAGAGCAAGTTGAATGCTTTGGTGCAGAAGGCTGGCTTGTGGAGTGGGTCTTTGAACACTTAAAAACGGGGAAATTGGACTTGCTGACCCACAAAAGTGGGGCTGAGTGCCTTCAGGCTAGGGTTTATTGAATGAGTGGGGTGCCTTGGGGACTTAATTCAGGGAGTGAGGTTTGAAGTGGAGTTTAAACAGAATGCCTTTTGGTTGAGGTTTACAGCGGAGTGGTATGCCCCTTTGGGCATTTATTAGACCTGAAACTTTGTTGTAACATGTACTGGTAAAAAACTACCTTGAGTATTTCTCACTGACATTACAACTTACTAACTCCCTTAAAAATGCCATTAATCATTAATTTTATCTTTGAGTTTCTGTGTAGCCTTTGTAATGGATATTACAACTTAAAAGAAGTAAAATAGAGATTAAGATATTTCAACTTGAAATAATCTATGATATTAAGCAATGAATATGGTAATTACCCTGCCCTGAAGACAGCTCTCTGGTATTATTCAGCATAAGAAGCTAAAACTAGGAGAGATTACTTACGTGTGAACTCCATCTGATTTTCTTTGTTCAAATACTAAAGTTTTACCTTCTGGAGAAGCAAGATGGAAATCAATATCTAATCCTGCTCCATCTAAAACCTGTGTGAGAGCATAAAAGAAAACAACCTATATTATAAATTCTGAATATAAAATTTTTATATAGATTCCATGTAAAAAGATTTCCTCCCCTTTAACAAAGAGGATAAAAAAGTCAACTAAAATAAATAAACAAAAGCAAACAGACTTCTGCTAGAACTAGGAGCTGAACGATCATTTTGTCCAATTCTATTCATTTGTGGAACTCCCCCCCCCCCTTTTAAACTCATTTCCGTTGCCTTCACCCTTATTTAGGTTTCATGGACAAATATTAGTATTACTAAAATAGTCTTTTTAAAACAGTGCCTTCCTTGAGAAGCTTTATAATGTAGAAAAAAACAGAAGAGTTCAAATATGTCCCTATTACATAAAAGTTGGGCATTTCCGGGTATGCTAAACGTAACATTTATGTTTTCTCGTCAATAAAGTGAGAATAATTCATTACGCTAGTCTGAAATTCATTGTCCTCATGACCTGCCTCAAATGACTCCTTCAATACATTCTACAACTCCCCAGTGTGAACGGTGTATTTAAAGTAGGCTAGTGTACTGGACTGCGAACCACAAGTCAGCAGTTCAAAACCATTAGCCGCATTGGGAGAAAGACCACGCTTTTTACTCCATTAAAGATTATAGTCTTGGAGATCCCCTTGCAGAGGGGTCTTGGGGAGGAGATGAGCCAGTCAGGGTGTGATGTAACAACGATGAAAAACACAACTTTCCTCTAGTTCCTAAATGTTTCCTCCCCGCTCCCACTACCATGACTAGAATTCAACCCTGCAAGTCTGGCTAGACCAGAGGCTGTACACTGGTACAGATAGGAACTGGAAACACAGGGAATCCAGGGCAGATGATCCCTTCAGGACCGGTGGTGCGAGTGGCGATACTGGGAGGGTAGAGGGAGAGTGGGTAGTAAAGAGGGAACCGATTACAAGGAACTATATGTGATCTCATCCCTGGGGGACGGACAACTGAAAAGGGGGTGAAGGGAGACGTCGGACAGGGCAAGATATGACAAAATAACAATTTATAAACTATCAAGGGCTCATGAGGGAGGGGAAAAATGAGGACCTGATGCAGGGGGTTTAAGTGGAGAGCAAATGTTTTGAGAATGATGAGGGCAATGAATGTACAAATGCGCTTTACACAATTGATGTATGTATGGATTGTGATAAGAGTTGTATGAGCCCCTAATAAAATGATTTTAAAAAAAAAGATTACAGTCTTGGAAACTCACAGGGACAGTTCTACTGTCCTAGAGGGTTGATATGAGTCAGAATCGAGTTGGCAGTTAGTTTTGAGTTTGGTTCACTTACTGAGCAACAAATAAGATCTATTCCTTTAAAATCCTCAAAATGTGCATAAAATTATTAGCTGCCAAAAAGTCAACATTCTGACTGGGGGCAACCCCATGGGACAAGGTTTTTGTGGTCACTGGGCTGGTACTGGATGGGTCTGAATCAAAAACCTTTCCTTTCACCACTGAGACTCCCAGATTAGATGAGCAAATGGTCTATTATTATTTTGCTCACCATTGCATCCCTAGCACTTAGTATAGTAGACAAAACCAAACCAAACTCTCGCCATGGAGTCAATGCTGACCCACAGCCACCCCTATAGGTTTCTGAGACTTAGGGAAGTAGAAAGCCACTTCTTCAGCAGAGTAGCTGGTGGTTTCCAACTGTGTGCAGCCACTACACCCCAGGCTTCCTTGACACATACTAAGCACTTTATAACTTAAAACTTCTAATTTTAAATAATTTATTGTATTCACAAGATAGGCATACTGACATTGAAAATGCTTCTCACGTGTTTTTTTCAATACTTGAAATGAGTACCCCTGGGACTGGTCGGTGGGAGAAAGGTGGGGCAATCTGCTTCGCTTAGCTTATGAATTTGGGAAACCCTATGTCCTATAGGGTGGCTGAGAGTTGGGATCCACTCTAGAGCAACGGGTTTGCTTTTTTTGTCGGAAGTTGCTATACAAGAGAACAATGGCATGGGGGGCAAACCTTACCAGGCTAAGTGAAAGAAAGGTTGAATAGTTTAACATATGGCTTCACATTATTTGATTTTGAAATGGTGGCCATATAGCTGTGAAGAAAATGCACCATTAAATACAGCCCTCATGGTCCCTTTCAAAATACAGTATTTTAAAATAGGAACTAGTGAGTGAGAATCACGTGGTAACAATTTCAAAATCATTAAGTAGTGGGGGGCCGGGAGCGTGAAGATTTATAACATCGGAATTGGGTGAAAGGGGAGGGGGTGATTCAAACAAGCGTCATCGCCTCGTCCAATGATGGAGGAGAACGTGTTTAATCCCGTATTGTGAAATTCGGAGTATCGGAGCGTGCACTGGAAGGTAGC